ACTGAGTTAGTGTGAGCCACCTCACAGTTTTTTAGCCTCTGGCTCATACATTTTTGTCGTGGCTCAGGAAGGATGGCTCCGGAACAAACTGATTGATGCAGCAGCCAATTCGCTCACTCACAACTTTAATGCTGGTAGCTCACAAAGTAGAATTTTTGCTCACAAGGCTCCACCGCTTAGAGGGACCATTGCACATGGTCAGATATGTCTTGCACTGATCACTCCACCAAGTGACTGAGTTGCAGAGTGGTGTTACCCTGTCTTTGACAGCCTCCTCTGTGGCTTTCTCATGCACTGCTGGTTTACACCCTGAAATTGCCACTCCACCAGCATAGTGTACTTCTGTTGGCAGAGGCGGGGAAGGCAATTCTCACTGATCCTCTCCCACTCCCACTGTGCCCCTCCCCAGTGCCTAAGGTTGCCTCTTGACTCTCAGGAGCAGCCTTTGTGGGAGGTGGGGCTCAGTGGACTTCAGCATGAGGAGGGAAACGACAAAGTCCTGCTTCACAGGCTTCCCTCTGCTGGTGGCACTTAGGATCCAACCCACTGGAAAATGCCCGCCCATCCTCAGCAGAGACACTGATCCTCAGATTACTACACCATGTAAAAGAAGACAGCGTATGCAGTGACCCTCTAATTCACAAAGCAATTACCGAAGGTGAGTACCGACTCTTTGACTGTGAAACAAAGAAGATGTCAAACACCTGATAGGCCACAATACATGACTGGTGAGGTATTCCTTTTGGTGTGTCATGGCACTGCGGTGCCTGGCGTGACCGCAGGGAGTTTTGAGTCTTGGTTGCAGCCAAGGTGGGTTGGTATCCCTGCAGGCGAAGAAAGAAGGCATCCTTCCCTGCACATCTCTTCCCTTCCTGTGGGCTGGAAGGCGCCATCTGGGTTTGGAAAAGGAACTGGGGAGCCCCTGTACATGTGGACGCTACACTTGGTGGTCCGACTTGGCTCCACCAAGAGATCAGGGAACCAGGAAGCAAGGGGGAGTTGGCACAGGGAGCGGCCCCGTTCAGACAAGGCACGACGCGTGTGTCAAGTTGGCAGGGAGGGGGGAAGCAGCATTTGCCCAGCTGCTGCCATGCAGCAACCCAGCCTGGTTCTGACAGGGTCACGGGGAGGACTGCCAGCACCTCTAGATGCCCCTCTTCCGAGCTAATGGGGCAGCTCTTGAAGATGCTGGCAGGTGAGAAGCACCCATGGAGAGGGAGGCGCACGCACGTTCCATTCCCACGTGCAGCACCCAAGGTCCCGTGGCCTCCCCAAGGTGCTTTCAAACGTACTCCTTTACCTTGACGGGTCTTGGATAGTTCTACAGAGTGCATAAAAGAGCCTCCATTTTTTTTGGTGTTTCCATCTATTCTCAAAGGCTGCGTGAAAAGGGGGCTGGAAGGCAGCCTTTTGTCTCCCGCGCCAGAGGCCACATCTGGGGTGCTGCGCTCACCAGCAGATGAGGAAGCCATGGCATCCGTACAACATAAACATTTCAGGTTGCATGTGTGTGGGTGGGGGAAACGCTTACATGATTGAAAAGCCCAGTCTCCAAACACCTTCCCTGCGCATAGAGAGTGAGCACCTCACAGAGAAGGGGTCCGGCCTGACCAACTCTCTGACACGCTCATTTTCTCTGCTGGTTTGTGTGTTTAGAGTGGAGCACTCCATCACACAAGGTTCCCTGGCTCAGTGGAAGAGCCTCTGCTTGGCGTGCAGAAAGTCTCAGGCCCAATCCCTGGCAGCATCTCCAGTTAAAAAGTTTCAAGTAGCAGGTAATGTGAGGGACGTTTCTCTGCGTGAGACCCTGGAGAGAGTCTGAGTAGACAATACTGACTGCGATGGACCCATGGCCTGATTCAGTGTAGGGCAGCTTCATGCGTGACAAGTCAGACTGGCCGGGTTGCAAGTTTGTCAATTCTGATCTACTGAGTAAGCACTTGCCCCCGCCCCCCCCCCGCTGCTACCATTCTTAACCAGTGGATCATGTGGTTGTGTCTCCTCTCTGTCACACCTACCCATTCTGGGTTAGCAGGACAACTCTCTATTTTTGTAAAGTTTCCTTCCCTTTCCAGAGTCCTTCCTTGGGTGAATTTAATGCGAGCGGCAGAACTTTGCCTCCAGCTCTGCTTTTTATCAACATGACCTTAAGATCTGTGTCAATGTCACTTTAGAACAGTTTAGAGTGCATATCGATCAGCTCAACCTGTGCCTTGGGAGCGCAACAGACGTGAAATGGACACCAGTGTGCCCGTTTTAGAGAAGCAAAGGGTCTCAAGATCAGCGTTGATTAAAAAAAAGAACAAAAGCGGAAAGCTGCTCTTGACCACCTGCCACTTCTGTTGTATCTTGGGGCACTTCCAAATGGTTGCTTTCCCCAGCGAAAGCAGAGCTGCACAGGGAAAAAAAAAACAGAGGGGAAGGACAGGAACACTCCACAAAAGAAGTGACAACTGGTACCACTGCGGGGAGAGAAGCACCGCTGTCACTGTTCTGTGCCCCCCCAGGCCCACCCTGCTAGCCCATTTGGACTAGTACTTGATTCTATTCTTTTTCAATGAACAGATTTAGCAATTGATACCCATACGGATGTCAGGCGCAAAAGTCTATGCACCTGACATCCGTATGGGTACCCAAGGAAGCACTTCCTTGGGTAAACGTCTCCTTGACCTTGGTGGGTATACTTTCAACTAAATGCGCTCAGAATCAGGATGAACATCTCAGGAGGAGGAAGCATGTCCGTTTTACACAACCCAACCTAACCTAGTTCCAAGACAGTGTCACTGTAATGGCTCCTTTCTCTCCAGGAACTCCGGAAAACGTCACTATGATGTGAAGGGACTAACAGTGCCATCCTAAAGAGGTGCAGGCAATGGACTGAGAAGGACATAACTCTTCTTAGAAGGCCCTGTAAAGCTCTTCTTCTCTTCCACTCCCCACCCAGAGTCAGGTGAGGCAGCAACGGCCAACGTGCCCGCCCCCCCAGCCATATCAGCATGAGGCCAAAAATGGCACTGGTAACCTAACTCAGTCGCTAGCCTTCACCCGCAGACAGGCCAAGGTCTGTGGCTGAGGACTTGCTAATAGGGAAGCTTCCTGAGCCACTGGTTTGACACTGCAGGGCAAAACCACACACCACCTCATCAGAGCCAAACATCTGAGGCTGCCTTCTACCTCAGTACCGCCTGCTTTGAGCGGCAGTCTTCAGGATCTCAGGAGCTGAACCTGGGGGGCCCTTCTGCACAAAAAAACAACAACCTCTTGCATCGAACCACGTGTGTTTTCAAACCTTCATTTCTTGAGATAAGTCTTGAGATATGGGGAAGGTATTTTAAACCGAGAATAAGGGCAAGAACATCTAACTCTTCTCTTGCCTGCTGATTCTGCACATTCCCACTTCCTGGACTTACTGCCACTCTCCGAGTCTAGTGGGGGGGAAAAACCCAGAATGAATGTTCCTCTGTTTGCAGGGGAGATGCTCAGGGGAGGGGGTAGTAGATCAAGGAATACTCTACAGATGTCCTCATATTCCTGCATTTGTGTGATGAGGCAAAAAGAGCTTCTTGGTCTGGTACACATGAACACGTGAAGCTGCCTTATCCTGAACCAGACCCTTGGCCCCTCAGAGTCAGTACAGTCTCCTCAGACTGGTAGAGGCTCTCCAGGGTCTCAGGCCGAGGTCTTCCATATCACCTCCTATCGGAGCCTTTTAACTGGAGATGCCGGGGATTGAACCTGGGACTTTCTGCATGTTAAGCAGATGCTCCGCCACTGAACCACAGCCACAGCCCCTCACAATTCCTACCTTACTGGCAACCTACAGGTGTGGAAAGCAGTACTCACAAATCGAAGATACCACCTTGTGTGGTATTTTCTGCATATAGCCATAGTATCACAATTCCCTTAATGTGGAATTCCAGGGGATTAGCATGGGCTACACCTTGGTGCTGCTGCTGTACTCTGGTAAACTACATTTAGGCAACTAGGGAACTTCCCCCCCTCCCCTGCCGAGACTCAAGAATATCTGGCCTAAAATTTCCCCAACTCAGAAATTCCATTTTACCCAGTCCGGTTCCTTTTCTGCCTGTTGTATTAGTTCTACACAGTGATGCTTTAGAACTCATTTCCCCTTGACAGGCCATAGTTTAATACCACACACAAGAACTCTTTATCATAGAAGGCACAGCAGTACCGCTATAGCAAGACTACTGTTTAAATGTATAAAAACACGAGTGCATGTAGACCATGCCTCATCTCAAGTGTTCAAACTGCTTCGCAAACATCATTGGTTCACTCTGACAATTTAGCCAACATATGACTGATATCACCTCAACAGTCCTTAAAAGGAGCCCATGAATTGGGCTGCGCTTCAATCCAGGTACTTCCTGGCTGACAGGACAGACTGTTAAGAACTAAACACCATAAATAACAATGGCCTGAGCCTTTTTAAAAAAATAACTTTTCACCTGCGGATTCTGCTGTAAAACAAGAATCTGCCCTCTTGGGAAGACCATTATAGTGTTTACAAGCACAGTTATGGAAGGCCCCCCAGTCTTGCCCAGGGAAGGGGAGGTGGGGGGAGAGGAAACGATCTGCTTCCTGGTCGAGGCGAGGGGGAATCAGACTAATCTGTAAACACAAATGGAGGCTGGAAGGCTCCCCGGAACTCCCCAGAAAGGTGGCAGAAAGAGCATAAACAAACAGCTGCCTCTAACTTTCCCCCAGACTGGACCCTTTGCTCTCCCTGCGAGGGAAGAGCAAGGCTTCTCACGGATTCGAACCAGGCGTCAGCTTCGCAAGAGGCGAGGTGGAGGTGTCTTCCCGGCAGGTAAATCAACCCCACCCCCACGAAGCACCGACAGGGAAAGGGGGAAGTGATGGAGGTCGCTGGGAAAAGAGCCTCTCGGCTGCCGCAACCTCAAGGGCAGGCGAGGAGAAGCCGGGCTGGGGCTCCCTCCACTCCGCCCAGCCCGCCCCCCTCCTCCCCGCCCCACGCTTACCTTGCAGGGGAAGAGGACGGCCGAGGCCACTTTCTCCATGGCCAGGTTCCTGATGCTGGGGGTCAGGGATCCCCGGCACGTGGGGCACAAGCTCAGCTTCTGCCGGCATTGGTTGCACACCAGGTGCCCCGCCTGGCACTGCAGGATCGGCGGGAGCACATAGTCGAAGCACACGGGGCACTCGAAGAGCGAGGTCAGCTCGTGGTGCTGCGGCGAGACCGGCCCCCCGCTGCCTTCCCCCCCGCCAGGGCTCGAGAGGACGGCGGCCGCGGCAGGGACCGCCGAAGAGCCGGCCCCGGCAGCCGAGATGGTGGCGGCGGCGGCGCTGGCGGGGGCGGGGGCAGCGAGGACGGGCGGCTCATCGCGATCGGGACAAACCATCGAAGTGCGGGCACCGAGCGGGTCGCTCCCCGGACCCCCGCCGCCGGGACGCGGAGCCGCCACCTCTCGCTCTCCCCGGGGCCGCCCGCGCCCCAGAACCGGCTCCGGCCTCGCCCCCGCGCCGCAGGAAGCCGCCGGCGCTCCGAAGGCTCTCGGCGTTCCAGGAGAGGAGTCCCAACGTCCCGCCGGGCAGCTCTCCCGCCGGCCCCCCGACTCTTCCCCCGGGCGAAGCCTGCGTGGTCCCTTCCCTCCTCTGCGCCGAAAGAACATCAACCTGACGCCAGGAGAGCGGAGCGGAGGGTGGTGTGTGCCGCCGGAGTCACAGCCCGGGCCGATGCTGGCTCCGACTGAGCATGCCCTGGTGCGCGCGAACAGCAGGCGGAGACTCCAGTCGCGGCCCTGGCGCTTCCTTTCGCCTTCCTCCTCACTCTCCGCTCCCCCTTGGTTTTCACTGGGACCGAAACAGCGCTGGACGGGGGAAAGGGGGTGGGGAGAGCGAGAGAGTCAGATGGGCACGCACATGGGGAAGGTTCTTCCTCTATTGTTCAATGGCGCAGCAGAACCTCACCGAGGCTTTCTGATCGCCACCTAGTGGGCACGTACAGTTAGCCAGGAGTCCAGTCAGTGGCGCCTTAAGTTTTCGAGAGCCCCAGAGCTCACTCCCTCAGGTCCATAGGAGGGTAAATCCACCAGTCCCCAGTGACCGTCCAAGGACACCCTACAAGCTTCATGGTGAAGCAGGGATTTGAACCTAGGTCTCCCCTGGGTAGCCCAGGCTAGTCCGATCTCCTCAGTCAGCTCTCAGAAGTGAAGCAGGGAGTCCAAGAGCAGGAGGCAGAGGCAGGCAGCAGCAAACCACCTCTGAACATCTCTTGCCTTGAGAAGCCTATGGGGGTCCCCATAAGTTGGCTGGGACTTCACAGCACTTTCCACCACCACCTCTCCCCATTTGCAGTCCAACATAGTATCCCGGAGGAGTCCCTTCTACTATTAGTATAATAATCCTCGACACTGCATGATGGTTGCCTCATCCAAGGCACTGATAATAGAAATAAACTTTATGATGTAAATATTGATATACAAGGAATAATACCCTGTCAGTGTCAGGTTACCTGGAGCAACAGGGTTGCCAATTCCAGGTTGGTACATTTCTGGATATTTGGGCCAGGGGAGACTGGGGAGGGGAGAGGCCCCAGTGATGCCATACAGTCCACCCTCCAAAGCAGCCGTTTTCTTCAGAGGAACTGATCCCTGAAGATCAGGTGTAATTCCAGGAGAGCTCCAGGACCCACCGGGAGTTTGGCAGGCATACAGATGGGGGGGTCACTTCTCGTGCCCTCTCCCACTAGAAGACCCCCCCTATGACTTGCTAGGGTGCCAGGTCCATAGCCTGCCGCAAGGGCGATGCCCCTGCCAAATTAGCCCTGCTGTAACGATATGAGCTTATGTTTG